ATGTAGGGGTGTTAACTAATCGGGTAGACCCGATTAACCGACCGACCCGTTCCTTATTCGGCCCATTCGGTTCGGGTTTTCGGGGAACGGGTATGAAATCGGCCTTAACTGAAATGGAGGGAGTCTAATCGGTTCGGGGAGCGGGTGAGAAAAAAAGATTCGGGTATTACCCGATACCCGAATAAATAATGTAATAATAATAAAATAATTTATATATATATATAGAAAATCAAAATATACAGATTAGGGTTAGGGGTTAGGGGCACTTCACATTTTTTTTTCTCTTTCATTCTTCGGTTCTTCCGTCTTCCCCTCTCTCTGACTCTCTCTCGCGGCGGCCAAACCCTAATTCCCAAATCCGAATTCAATCACAGATCCGCGGCGGCCAAACCCTAATTCCCAAATCCTCATCCGCCTCTTCCCTTTCTTTCTTCCTTCTTCTTCGGTTCTTCCTCTTCCCTTAGCAACTCCCCCGCCCTACCTTCCTTCGATCTGAGTTCAAATCTGTTTCCCAATTCTCTGGCGAATGATTTATCGTCTCCGATTTTGCTCCTGAAGAAACGACTCTGCTTGGCGAAGATTGGCACAAGTATGATTTGCAATTTGAATCCATCTAATTTTGAAGTGGATTTAGTAACTTTAGTTCAGATCCAATTCTGCTCCCTTAAACTTTTTTTGTCATTAACCACATGTGAATTTCCTTTACCAGAAGAAACTTGCTGATGAATTATCGGTGACCGGCGCGACGGAAAACGACTCTGCGTTTTTTTTTCTCCTCCCTTGAGTTCAAATACCTTTATGTCAGTGTTTGAAATCTATCCCGGGATCAGTCTTTCAATTCGTAAAGAGGTACTTTATGTCTTTTAATTTGCTATCTGCTTGTAATGATTATTGATTAGTATTAGGCCCTTTTGTTTTTTCATTTGTTATTTAGTATGCTTAAAGTGGTTATTTCTTGTTTAACAGAGCAAGTCGAATGCTACTTTGAAGGAGACAAGTCTGTTTGGACTTTGGAGTTTCACTGCCAAGTTTAAGGCTGATAGCCTGATACCTTCTCTTCTTACAGATTGAGCAAGGTAATGCCTGCTAGCTGCTGATATTTTTCATTTTTTACAAAGGTTTTCGAATGTTTGTTTCATCAATTGAAGATTTTTCTGCTTTTTTTTTCTAAAGATTAAATTTTGAGTTACTTCTTTAAGGTAACTAGCAGTTGGTACTACTTCTTCTTAAACTCTCTGAGTCTGTGTTGTTTTGAGGCTTAAAAAAAAATCGGTTTTGAAGTTTATGTTTGTTTCCTTGTTGGCTTTGGATGACTGATTATAAGTTTCTGTATCTGTTTGGATGACCATCACTTTATCAGTTTTATTGTTGGATTTTTTTCAATTTCTGATCATGTGATGTAACCAGTAACCTAATGATTTGATTTTTTTTTTATCTTAGATGTCTGAACATATTGAGTTGAAAGAGATAGAGGTGGTTGGACCTTCTCTAAATGATGATAAACTGATGATTGATGTGGAGTATGAAAGCGAGGAAGAGGCAAACAGGGAAGAGGGCCAAGAGGCAAAAGAGGCTAAAGATGATACTGCTGAGGCTTGCATAAAGCCATCTCCAAAGAAAAGAAGGAGAGGTCGCCAAAGGTCCGTGGTTTGGTCCCATTTTACTGTTTTTGATAAAAATGGTGTGAAAACAACTTCATGTAGATATTGTAAACCGAGTATCAAGTGAAACGAAAGACATGGAACAAGTTCCTTGCATGCTCATTTGAAAGTTTGCATGAAATATAGAGCACATCATGACTTGGGTCAAAGTAATTTGGTTGTTGAGGGTGGGAACAATGTGAGAAAGGGCACATATCTACTGGAGGTTTGATGAATCAAATTACAAAAGCTATTGCATATATGATCATAGTTGATGAGCTGCCTTTTAAGTTTATTGAAAGAAAAGGATTTCTGCATTTTTTGAGAATCTGCCAGCCTTTATATGTTCCTAAAAAAAGACTAACCATAGCTAATGATTGTTATCACTTGTACTTGAAAGAGAGGGGAAAAATTCAAGCTGAGATTAGTAATGTTGTAGGCAGAATATGTTTTACCACTGATAGTTGGACTTCATTGCAAAAGGTGAATTACATGTGTCTCACTGCTCATTTCATTGATAGTAATTGGATTTTGAGAAAGAGGATCTTGAATTTTTGCCCAATATCAAGTCATAAGGGTGTAGATATAGGAAAAGCAATTGAAAGCTGTTTGCTTGCTTGGAAAATTGATAATGTGCTTACTATATCTATGGATAATGCTAGTGCAAATGATGCTGCAATTGAGTACTTGAAAGATCAGTTTGGTAATTGGGAAAAATGTGTTTTGGGAGGGAAATGGTTGCATGTTCGTTGCGCTGCTCATATTATGAATCTGGTTGTTAAGGATGGGTTGGATTATATTGATGAATCTGTTGATAGAGTTAGAGCTGCTGTTAAGTACATTAGACAGTCTCCTCAAAGAATTTCAAAGTTTAAATCATATGCTGAAATTGAAAAGTGTAATTCTTCTAAGAATTTGGTATTAGATGTCCCTACAAGGTGGAATTCCACCTTTTTGATGTTGCAAACTGCTGAGAAGTATGAAAGGGCATTTAGAAGGTATGAATCTGCCGAACCACATTTTAAGGAGACTCTTAAAAAGGTTCCTGGGGAGAAAAATACGGGGCTGGGAGTACCTACTTCATCTGATTGGGCAGAAGTGAGAAGGTTAGCTAACCTTCTTGAAAAATTTCATGAGTTCACATTAAAAGTGTCGAAGACTAACTCTGTATCTTCACATACTTTCTTTGACAATCTGGTTCACATTGAGATTTTGTTGAAACAGTTGATTAGTGGTGAAGATTTGGGTCTTGTAGCTATGGCAACGATGATGAAAACGAAGTTTGATAAGTACTATGCTAACATTAAAGATATGAATGTTCTTCTTTTTGTTGCTTCTGTTTTGGATCCTAGGAATAAGTTGAGTTATGTGGAACATGTTCTTTGTAAGTTGCATGGAGTAGTTGATGGCAAAGATAGGGCAGCATATATTAAAGAATGTATGTATGCATTGTATGATGATTATGCGAGGATTCATGCTCCTCCTCCTCCTCCTTCTCCCCCTTCTCAACCTTCTTTGTCGGGAAAAAGAATGTCACTGTTTGATGTTGAACCTTCATTGATGTTGAGAGAGGATTTCAGAATGGAATTAAAAAAAAGAAAGCTGCAAATGGGGTAAAAGACACAAAATGTGAATTAGATAAGTATCTATTAGAGGATCTTGAAGATGAGAGCAAGACATTCAATATTCTGATTTGGTGGAAGGTCAATAGTCCGAGATTTCCGATTCTTTCTTTGATGGCTTGTGATATATTAGCAATTCCAATATCCACAGTGGCCTCCGAATCAGTTTTTAGTACAAGTGGAAGGATATTGGATGCGTTTAGGAGTTCTTTAACTCCAAAGGCAGCTCAAAGTTTAATATGTGCCCAAGATTGGCTTCGTGATCCAAGTGAACCTGAGTTGCTAGATGATGAAGAAGTATGGGAAGAAATTCAACAAATTGAAGAAGGTTTCTTTATTCTGATTTCTGAATTTCTGTTTCTAAGTTGTTTCAATTGTTGAATTCTTTGAAATGTTCTTATAATTTGTTGTTTTTTATCTCTTGTAGCTGCGGAATCAAAGTTGAAGGAAAGTGGACCGAGCTTGGAATTACCATGATCAATGAATGCCAAGTCTCTTATTCATAGGTAATCTCAGATCGAATTTATGGATTGAGTTTGGATTTGAAATTGTGAAGAGTGGTGACTGAGATTTGCTTATGTGCAGTGCAGGCTGGTGTGTTCTTTCTCTGGTCATCTGGTATTCTGGTGTGTCATGTGTGCTTTCTTCAAGAAGAAGAAGAATGATATGATCATATGACCAGTTTCTTCTTCATTTCCTGTTGGCTGACTGCTACATATTCATCAAGCCTTGGTGTGTTCAAAGAAATGCTGCTGTAAAACATTGTCATGAATCATGATCAAGTTGTTTGTATTTCTGTTTTTTTGGATTTGGGACTTATTATTTCTTAACTTTTTTTTGTCATTTGTCAAGACTATGTTGAATTATTGTGGAGTGTGGACTGTGGACTAAGGAATTTGGACTGTTTCTGTTTCAGTTTTAGAATTTATTGTAGAACTTTGAAATTTATGTTGTCAAAAGAATGGTGTTTATGGAGTTTGGATTATTGAATTATGAATGAGATGCTGTGAAGAAAATTGTGTATTCATGTTCAGGAATCAGGAGTTGTATTTTCAGTAAAAACAGGTGGAATATGATTCTTGTTGCCTGTTGGGTTAACCGGTTATTGAACCGAACCGACCGAAATGTTATTCGGTCGGTTCAATTTCGGGTATCCTATAATTCGGTCAGTTTTCGGTCGGTTAGTGCTTCGGTGGAAAACCGATTTCCCCGAACCGAACTAACCGATCCCCGACCGAACCGACCGAATTAACACTCCTATGTGGATGTTGGGGCAAATTGCTTGAACAATCCTCCAATTATCCCACCAATCACTTTTATCTTTAAAATTATTCTATGATATTTCAGATATCTCAAATATACGTACCGAATCATGTTTAGATTTGATAACGTTGCTGATGAACGTGAACCTTTTAGTATTATTCCATAAAGATCTTATCACTTTCACGCGACAAAAGTAATCAGTGTTTAAATTCTTAGTTACGCACGATAGAACGATACAAATTGCTCGTCAACTTACATTTTTTAAAGTTTAAATTGACCCATGTGTTGATATTTTGCAATCAGGAAAATACAATATTATTATTTCACTAATAAAACGTAATTTGAGCACAAGAATAATAATCTGATCAAAAGTCCATGGAAGGCTTCGATCCCAAGTTCTCAACTACTATTATCTTCAATCTCTCTCTCTCTCTCTCTCTCCCCTTTGAAAGAAAGCTCCTTTTCACGACTTGAAAAGCTTTTGAGTGCCATTGACAATGACCCAAGTGCCCCAAAAAATATGTTTGATTGATTATTCAGTGGACACGGCATCTCTCCCTTTCTCTGTCACTCTCTTTTTCCTTCTCTCTCTCTCTCTCATTTCATGCGCACATTTTTTTTCCTATTTCTTTCTCCTATAATGTTAATGTATGCAAGTGCAAAGTGCAAAACTATTCTGGCTATGATGCTCTAAAAACATTGCTACTATCAAAAAGTAGTATGTGACCATAAAATCAGAGAGAAACCAAACCAAAGGAAGAATTAAAGATGAAAAGAAAAAATCTTTCCTTTTTTTTTTTTTCTTTTAAATGGTTAGCAAGAATCTATATTATGTGTGTTTGTCGTCCCGGGGCCCCGGACCCACTCCCCTTCTTCTTCCCTTCTCCAACAACAATGAACACACAGCCACACCCAACTCTTTCATTCATATGGTCCAAAACCAACTCCTCCTTTCTCCCCATTAAATAATTCTAAATCCCCTGAATTTTCACACTCTTGGGATTTTTTTTAATTTCTTCCTGAGTTGGTTTTTTTTTTTCCTCCCATATTTAAAAAAACACTTGGAAGGAAGAAACGATAAAAATCCCAGAAGGCCATTTTTTTTTTAAAAAAGAAAGTTTTCCTTCTTTTGTTTTTTGGGTTTTTGAGATATATATTTTATTGGTATTTGAAAAGGGAGTTTTTCCTTTTTTTTTGGGGTGTTTTTTTAAAGGGGGTTGGGTGATGCCAACTCCGGTGAGCTCAGCCAGGCAATGCTTGACGGAAGAGGCGGCGCGTGCATTGGACGATGCAGTGAACGTGGCGAAGAGGCGGAGCCACGCCCAGACGACTTCCCTACACGCAGTGTCAGCACTCCTAGCGCTTCCGTCGTCCGCCCTGCGGGAAGCTTGCTCACGCGCAAGGAGCAGCGCGTACTCTCCACGCTTGCAGTTCAAGGCGCTGGAGCTCTGCGTCGGGGTGTCTCTTGACCGGTTGCCGACCACCAAAGCTCAAGATGAGCCGCCCATATCGAACTCATTAATGGCCGCCATTAAAAGATCACAAGCCAATCAAAGGAGGCATCCTGAAACTTTTCATTTGTACCAGCAATTACAGCATCAAAGCAATATTAATAGTAGTAATGGTAATTCTTCTCCTCCGTCGATTTCAGCTGTAAAGGTTGAGCTGAAGCATTTCATACTGTCTATTCTTGATGACCCGATTGTGAGCCGGGTTTTTGGAGAAGCGGGTTTCAGGAGTTATGAGTTGAAGATTGCTATTCTGAACCCGCCTACCATTTCCAGGTTCTCCAAAACCCGGTGCCCGCCTCTTTTTCTCTGTAATTTAAGCGATTTAGAGTCAGGCAAACGTGGGTTTAGTTTCCCTTTTCCCGGGGTTCTGGGTAGTGAGAGTTTGGATGAGAATTCCAGGAGAATTGGGGAGGTTTTGGTGCAGAAAACTGCGAGAAATCCTTTGCTGGTTGGGGTTTGTGCCAAGGACGCCCTTAATGGTTTTACTGATGATGTAAAGAAGGGTAAAGCTGGAGTTTTGCCCAGGGAAATTGATGGGTTGTGCACGGTTTGTTTAGAAAAAGACATATCAGATTTTCTGTTGGATGGAGGGAGGAATGAGGAAATGATAAGGTTGAAGTTTTTGGAAATTGATAAGATAGTTGAGGCTAGTCAAGGGGCTGGTGTGGTTGTGAACTTTGGTGATTTAAAGGTTTTTGTTGATGCTGGGGAGTCAGTGGAGGCAGTGAAGTTTGTTGTTTCTCAGCTGAGTAGACTGGTTCAAGTTCATGGTGGAAAGTTGTGGTTAATTGGATCTGCGGCTAGTTTCGATACTTATATGAACTTTTCAACTCAGTTTCCAACTACTGAGAAGGATTGGGATTTGCATTTGATGCCCATTACTTCTTCTAAATCTCCCGGGGCTGGTGTGTCATCCAGATCCAGGTGAGTGATCTGTCCTGATTTTGTTTTACATTTATGCTTTCCAATTGTTTTTTTTATCAACTTGGATAAGGTCTCATAATGTTTTATTAGTTTATTACTAGAGCTATTTTAATATAGGAAGGACACAAGGACAGTCACTCTTGATTAAAGTATTGGTGATGACAAATCTTTACCAACTGTTTCAATGGAACAACAATTGTTTGTCTTATTTGTTTAAAGAACGACTGACATTGGTTAAGTTGCTACTAACTGTCTTTTTTAGTATTCATCATCCTAAAAGTTTGATGCACTTTGTATCGATGATTAACCTTCGGAAATAAAGAATATCAGGGTCACATGACTTTTTCGTTTTTCCTTTGTAAGTCTCTTTTTATGGTTTTTTTTTGGGGGGGCTTGAATCCTTTGTCAGTCTGAAATACAATGTTTTTCATCACAAGATTCAAGATAGTATTCATTTGTTTCTGTGATGTCCTGGATGAACCTTGCATTCCAGATAGTGAAGTGTGGAAATCTCTTTCTAGTAATCAGCAGTAAAAAACTTTGGCGAGGTTTTTTTTTTTTTTTTTGTGTAAAGCCCAACAGGGAGCTGATTTTTACGATTTGATTGGAAATCTATTTCCGAGGATCGGAGCACTTTTGCTGGTTTTTTGCTTTAACTCACCTTACCACTTTGTTTTTTTTATTCCACCCTATTCAATTACGGTGTCTCCGTTAGCAGACCTGGAAAACTTTAGTATCCAACATCAACTAAAAGAAATAAATCCTGTGCATCTGCTGACACATATATGTTACTTCCTGACTTTAAATTCGTTGAACCTGACAGTTGGTTGCCCACGTACTTTGCAGTTTGATGGGATCCTTTGTCCCGTTTGGTGGGTTCTTTCCTACACCATCTGATTTTGATAGCTCTTGGAGCAATAGAAATCAATTTCCAGCTCGATGCACCACATGCAATGAAAAGTATGAGCAAGAAGCGTCTGCTCTGAGGGGAGGTTCCAGAGTTTCAGTTGCTGACCAGTACTCAGCAAATTTGTCCCCTTGGTTGCAAATGACTGAGTCTGACAAAAAGAAGAGCTTGAGCATACCAGAGGTGTGCTTCCCCTATAATATGCTTATAACAAGAATTGCTTAAAGAAACATTTCCATAAACAAATGTTATTTCAGTGCAGGCCAGAGATGACAGCAGAGCTTTGTTAAATACGAGACTGATGGCTCTTGAAACTAAATGGAACGATATATGTCAACGTATTCATCGGAATTGTTCATTAGAGCAGAATGTCCTACATTCTAGGCCACAATATCAAAACACCAATGTGCTTCAGTTAGCTTCAGCAAGGAGTGGAAGTGCTATTACGGATACACTAATTGATGAGAGAAAACCTCCAGACCACAGTTCCTGCATGCCCTCAGACTCTCGAAGTACTTCCCTGTCTAGACTAAACGTATCAAAACCATTTCCTCAAGAACCTTCAGCTGGTTCTTTAGTTGAATCTCCACTCCAGAGACTGAAAATGGGGAACTTTTGGAACTCACCCTATGCTCCTGAGCCCATAAATTCCCGCAATCAAAAGTCACCAGTTTCTGTCACCTCTGTTACAACAGATTTGGGACTCGGAACCCTCTATGCATCTGGACTGAAGGAGCCTAGTAACCCCAAACTTCATCAGGCCTATAACGACCGTTTTCAGAATTCAGGTTCAGTTTCTGCTGATGCATCTAGTGAGAATGCCTCAAATCATGTTACCCAGTCTTCTGCTTGCTCTGTGCCTCCTTTAAGGGAGCAGCCTGATGAAAAAGATTTCAAATACATATGGAAGGTGCTTTCTGAAAAAGTTAATTGGCAAGATGAGGCTGTCCTAAGTCTCAGTCAGATCGTGGCCTCTTGTCGAAGTGGGTATGGACAAAGACGTGGTCCAAACAAAGGAAATATTTGGCTGAGCTTACTCGGACCTGATAAAGTGGGTAAGAGGAGAATTGCCGCTGGACTTGCAGAAGCACTCTTTGGCTGTTCTCAGAGGTTACTGCGCATTGATCTTGGTTCCTTGGGTGAGATAGGATGCTCAGACACAATTATCAGTCGTGAAGATTTGAGAGATTTTGGTGGGAACTTTAGAAGAAAGACTCCGGTTGATTATGTTGCTGAGGAGCTGAGTAAGAAATCTGAAACTGTTATACTGGTGGAGAATGTAGATAAAGCTGATATCCAAGTTCAGACTAGTTTATCGCAAGCTCTCAAAACTGGTAAATTTCCAAATTCTTACGGAAGAGAAGTGAGTATAAATAACAAAGTTTTTGTGATTACTTCAAGTGCTTCGAAGGGTTTCAAAGATTTCTTTTCTGGAAACCTCTGCACTGAATATTCAGAGGAAAGAGTTCTAGCAGCAAGAGACATGCGGATGCAAGTACAAGTTGGGTGCGCTTCTAGAGATGCAGTTAGGTACCAAAACACCAATTTAAAGATTACTTCAAATAAAAGAAGTACAACCCCTCTCTCTTCAGTCAAAAGAAAGTATGGTGATGATAGTGAATCTGTGGAAAACAGGATGCTACCAGTATCGAAACGCATTTGTGAAACCTCAAGGTCATCGTTCGATCTGAATTTGCCTGTAGAAGATACGGATGAAGATGATGAGTGTAATAACAGTGACAGTGACTCTGGATCTGGGAGTTCCAAGGCTTGGCTGGAAGAATTCTTGGACCAAGTGGATGGAAATGTGGTGTTGAAGCCATTTGATTTTGATGCTCTCGCTCATAAAATATTGAAAGAAATCAACCTGAGTTTCCAGGAAGTAGTTGGATCCACTTATTTCTTGGAGATGGAATCCGAAACAGTGGTTCAGATGCTTGCTGCGGCTTGGATATCAGAGAGGGAAGGTGCAGTAGAAAATTGGATCCAAGATGTTCTACGTAGGAGCTTTGAGGAAACCTCGCGGAGGTGTAGCCTTGCTCCTGATAAGGTAATGAAGTTGACTGCTTGTGGAGGCGCAGTCGTTGAAGATGACCATAGTCCCGGAATCTGCCTTCCTTCGCGAATACTGACCACTTGATTCCTGTTCTTCCTTGTGTGTCAGGTTTGCTTGTAAGTAAATCATCATATATATGTGTACAATAATGTAGTTTAGTTTAGTATCTTTGGTCTCGTATTGTTTGGGGGCTGTGTTGTTTGTGAAGAATGTGCATTATTATTTATGAGTTAGAAGAGAAGGCCCAGAAATATGTTTTACCATTTTGCAAATCAAATTCTTTAGAAGTCAGAAGAGGCTTTTCCACTTTTTGTTTCTGCAATTATAGGCCTCATATATATACCACAATAGTAAATTTAGCTGGTCTGTTGAACCGCCAGAACATTGCATTCATATTTCAAGGGTCAATATCAAAAGTATGACACCCCCCCACTGTTTAATGAAATATCAAAAGTATCCCGTAATTGGCTTGTCAATTATCAAAATAGTCTTTCAACGACTGGAAATTGATTTATACATATAAAATTTAGGAAAAATTAGTGTCAAAAATAGTTGTTTGTATCTCCGAGGGATCCTCCGTGATTTTTCTTCTTTCCCCAAACTCTCATAAAATCACTTCTAAATCTAAAAATTTACTTTTTCAAGGTCCTAAAAGCTGATTTAGAAATAAATAATTGATTTTATTAGAATTTAAAAGACAATCAAGGATAATTTTTATGGGGTATAAATGTTTTTTGGGCATATTTTTGGCTGAGTACATGTCAATTTTTACTTGTCAGAAAACCTTTTTGATAATTGATTCAAGAGATATTTTTGTTCTTTTATGCACATTTTTGCTGAGTATGTGCATACATCATTTTTCAGTTGTCAGGAAACCTTTTCGATAATTGATTCAAGAGTTATTTTTGTTCTTTGCTTAAACAGTAATTGTATCTTTAATAATCAACTAGACAGTGGTTTCAAAAAAAAAATAAAAATAAAAATAAAATCAACTAGACTGTGTTTTTGATACTAACACTGTTGTCAATAGCTAGTGGGATGAGAAATTCCAAACTTCTAACTTCTCAGGATGAGCGCCTAAAAGGTTACTAACTACCATTTTTTTTTTATTTGAATGAAACAGCTGCAAAATTAATTATGGTTACCTTCAAACATAGGATTAAAATAGGATTATATTTTACTATAATAATTTTACTTATGTAATGTTTGTAGACTGTAGTTGAAATGTTGCAAATTTAATTATGTTTAGTAAGTACCATTTTAAAACCTTATGTTCAAAAATCATTGTTATAATAATCCCTCCGTCCTATAATTATCGTCCAGTTTGGGTTTTTTTATTTTTAGTTTAAATTATACTGAAAGTAAAATCTCAAACTCGACAATAATTTTGGGACAAAGGGAGTACTTGTTTATTACTCATGATAGAGAGCATAATTATTATTTATTTTGTAACAAGGGATGTATTCTATTTAATAAATCTTTTTTCCAAACTTCGCTAGTAGAAAGAATAAAGTCCCATGATGGAATCAAATTTGTTCTCTAATTCTGAATTCTTTTTTTTTTTTTTTTGTTTTTGTTAGGGGGTGTCCAGCCCACTGATTAGTCTCCTCACTGCTCTAAACTCTAAAGGATGTACATATTCTATAGTAAATCTTACTTGCCATACTTTCCGAAAACTAGAAAGAAGAGAGCCCAAATAATCACTTCTGTACTCTAATCCCAATTTTCTCCTCTTATATTTCTTTTTTCATATTTATAAGGTGTATAAACCCTAGAGAAAAGTGTTTAATATTCTTAATAAAATTTAAGATTGTTTTATGATTAGAATAAATTTTAAACTTCCGGCCAATGGTTAATATTCTTTTATTTCTTTTTTCATATTTATAAGCCGTAAATCCTCGAGAAAAGTGTTTAATATTCTCTAATAAATTTAAGATTGTTTCATGATGATCATAATAAAGATTGAACTTCCAATCCAGACAATGGTTAAAGCCGTTAAAGGTGAATAAGTTTTTCGCACTCAACCACATAATTCTTTGTTTGAATTATGACTTCTAGTGGAGTACTAGTTTGACAGAGTTATAAACAAGCTACAAATTCAATGTGATCAATAGTCAAAACCACGAGGATAGAATCATGAGCGAGAAAATTAGCCGGTTCTTGCAGATCGATGGGCCCAATTGAACGCCAACTGGGGCCAATTTTTGGGCTCCGTGACCCAATTCATATATCCTCCAACCCACAGACTTTATTACTCCGACTTCGAGTTTGAAGTTTGCATCATTTCGACTACAGCTGCAAACATATATCCTATATTTCACTTGTTTTTGGTATTAATTTTTAATTAAAAGGTGTCATTTCATAATGATGCCGTTGAAAATTTTTGATGAAAAATGATAACGAAAAAAAGACAAAATCACCAATTTATAATAATTATCTAATACTAGTAAATGATAAGTTTGTAAATACATGTATATCATATCATTCTTTTCCATTAAACTTTTACCTGCCCGATGTTATATTATACTATAAGGAATGAATAATGACAATATCATTTCTATGTTTCCACACTATTAAATTGTAGAGTAGTGATAGAGAAAGTGAAAAATTATAGTGACTTTGGTGTAGCGACTTATTAGTTAATTTTATGTGTAAAACACTTATTAGTTGATTTTTTAAAGATAGTTATTATCATCACATGAACCACCAATCACATATTTACACATCAGTCACCGCACCAAAGTCACTATGATATTTCACTATACTTATCATTTTCCTAAATTATAATACTCTGCCGTCCCAAGAAAAATGATCTAGTTTCGTAATAAATTATCTCAAAAGATGGTATATTTTAACAAAGATTAAATATTCTCCTATAACATATTTTTAAAAAACGGAGAGAGTAATTCGTACTTCATATTATTTCTCACTTAATAGTTCGTAATAAGCAGAAGTGTTGGAAATGCTACCATGCATGTAAACGTTATTAAATGACTCGAGGAATTAAACTTTAAATCTTTATTTACTAGAAAAAGGGCTTTAAATTTTAATTGATTTTCTTCTCTTTTTATCCTCGTGTGTGAATAATAAATAATGAAACTTCTCCTACCAAAAGAAAAAAAAAAAGAACAAAAAAGAAGCTTTTCCATCGTACCAATTTTTAGAAGCCACGTAAATATGAAAAATGTGTCAAAACAAACAGAATAAAACAAATCAACCACAAAAATAAGAACATATCCCAATATTTTCACAAAAATGACAAGAAAAAAAGAAAAAGAGACCGGGGGAGAGAGTTTCTAGAGGAGTGTATTTAATTTGTTCAACTAATTTTATTATATTATTATGAGTTATATATTATTGGAAGAAGAAGAAAGGGGAGACAGACAAGTCACACCATCCAACTTGTTCGATGCTTTCAACGTTGTCGCCAAGAGCAGCACAAAAAAAAATAGAGACACATTGACAAATCGATGCCCTCCACGCAGTACTATGGTACCGCAATCTCCCGTAAAATCAAGGGTAATATAGTAAGAGAATAGCCCTTACATGCATGTCCACGTCATTTTATAAAAAGTTTCAAATTGAGAGTCGCCAAGTGCCATCACTAAAGCCAATGATCCGGCCGGGACCGAAAGCAGAAAATCTCACTAAGAAGTTGAAAGAATTGGGGTTGTAGAGATAAAACAGGCTGTGACATTTTTTTGATTGTATTATAATTATTACTCCCGCTGTTCCAAAATTATTGTCCAGTTTGAGATCTCACTTTTAGTACAATTTGAACTAGAAATGAAAACTCAAACTAGACAATAATTATGGGACAGAGGAAGTAATAATTTGACACGTCTTTAATTATGTATATTTTGTACTATTAGAGTTTTTCTACCAATTTTGCTTGCCATCTTATATTTAAATTGTCATGACTTTTATTTTCTTAAAAATTAATTCTAATAAATTCCACTTAAATGTGGATAAAACCCTCCTTACATATCGTTGGTGGGGATTAAACCTGAGAGCCGAGTCTAATACTAGGAAGCCCATGTTTACATACTCTTGGTGTCATGACTTTTAAATGTTACTAATGTGTGACAAAAGATTCAATTAAAAAATTTAGTTGATAGTTTTATTTAACATGTCTACTTTAAAGATTACTAGGAGAACTACGATGTTTTTTTTGCCCTTTTGCCCTTACTAGTGATATTCTGTGTGTGTGGTTTTTTTTTTTCTTCTTCTTTCTTTTTTATGGGTGGTATCTTTTCAAAACTTTATCCATAAACTCTTTTAGTTCATTCATTCTTGGATTTGTATGGTAAATATATTGAAGAGCTATTAGTGTAAGAGGTCATAAAGGTATTTGAGAAAAGAACAGAAATCATATATACCATGACAATTCATAGTGAATAAAATTAAATATGTATTTATACATATTTTCTCAATAACTTCCAAAAAGAAAAAAAAAAGGAGTTTATATGTATTTTTTATTCATTTGCCACAGCACTCACTATTACATTTGCATTATATGTATACTCTCTCTGTCAAAAAATTATTGTCCAGTTTGAAACTTCATTTTTAGTACAATTTGAACTAAAAATAAATGCCCAAACTCGATAATAATTATGGGACGGAGGGGTTATTTTACTTTCGATCTAAACAAAATTAATTTTAGTTTATCATTTTCCTTCTTCATTTTCCAACTTTCCCATCTTAGTTTTCTTACAAAGAATTTGGTATTTATTCGTAAAAAGATTTACAAAATTTCCGCACAAATAAAAAACAAAAAAAGGGAGCAAGCACTATCCATAAAGTCTTTATTACAACTAGTTAGATTAGATTCTCACAATCCGGCCGGTTCATTTAAGGCTGAATATTACACGTGGCGCTCAATTACCTCAAAGACGGTTTGGTACTATCAAATCAGATGCATGGAATGGGATGTGCATAATTTTTTTTCCTTCTTTTTCCCTCTTTCGTCCGCATTTCATTTGCATTTGAATTTGCATTTCATTTGGAGAAATTTGCGCGGTCCTTTTTTAATTTTTTTTTTCATTTTATAATTTTGCTGATTGATTTGAAAGGGAAGGAAGGAAAAAATAATTAATAAATATTGTTAAGGTAGTACTGGTACGACAAATGGTAGGCTCGTCCTTTTTGACTCTGAATATCATCAAAGGAAAGAAAAGTCTTTTCCTTCTCAATTTAATTTATTTTCTTTCCAAATTTAATTTTTATTTTATTCGATTTTATATATATAATCATTTCTTTAATTTTCGCTTTTTTTGGAGGGATGCATTTCCTTTTCTCTCTCCAGCTTTCCCTCTCAATGCTGTGTAGTTAAAGAGGCTGCTGCTTTCGTTAATAGCAAAGAAAACCCAACTTGGATTTTTTGTTCTCTGGATTTCTACTACTACTATTAATCAACCATTCTTTTTCTTTTTCTAAAAAGCCTGGAGGGGTTTTGTACTTTGAACCCTTTTTTCTCTGCAAGAATTTAGAGGTATGTTTCTTGTGGTTTGGTATTTTTAATTTGTTTTTTTACTACATGTTGTATGCATGTGAGGAGACATTCTTACCGTTCTCTATGCTTCCCTGTTTTTTTTGGGTTTTTTTTGTTTGTTGTTTATAGAGGCGATCTTTCTGTGCATTCTTTGCTGTTGGATATTTTCCGAATTGGGTTCCGTGTATTATGCTTTAATTGTACGTTGAGTTGTATTATTTTTTAGTTCTCCTAATTCATAAAGATTGCAACTTTGTTGCTTAAGTTTTGTTATGTTGTCCTCCACTGATTTCAGTTCAGAGTTCCATTAACTTTTGAGATACTAATAGTTAACCTTATTGGAATTCCAGTTTTTTCTTCTTTTTTTTTTTTTGAAGTTTATGGTTTTGATTTTGTTATGTGATTGATTAAATTATAGGGATAGGGAGAAGGCAGTAATCAATCCAATATGTGCAACGGTTCAGAGGAAAAAGCTTGTTCTGCTGAATTAGCTACAGAAGGTTTTGTACATAGTTCCTCAGATTTACTTGAACTATCAGCTACTGATGATATTTCTGCCTTCATAAATGCCGTGGAAAAGGAGGGGCGTCCTGTTGATGAGTTTTCTGTGTGGTACGGTCGAAGAATTGGTTCCAAGGAAATGGGATTTGAGGAAAGGACACCTCTCATGATTGCTTCTATGTTAGGGAGCAAGCAGGTTGTAAAATATATACTTGAAAAGGGTGGGGTTGATGTCAATAGGGCATGTGGTTCTGATGGTGCTACTGCACTCCATTGCGCTGTTGCCGGCGGTTCTGCTGTTTTAGAAGAGATTGTAAAGCTTTTAATTGATGCATCGGCTGATGTAAATGCTCTTGATGCTAATGGGAAGCGACCGTTTGACTTGATTTCTCAAGTTCGGAATTCTTCCTTCAATTCAAGGAGGAAGATGTTGGAGGTCATGTTAAACGGTGGAATTTCTGTCCATGGTTGCCCTGAATCAGATGATGGACCGACTGAACAAACTGAAGGTCCAAGGGTGTCTTCACCAGTGACTGTTAGGGATGGAACCGAGAGGAAAGAGTACCCTGTTGATCCATCTCTTCCAGACATTAAGAATGGCTTATATGGTACAGATGAGTTCAGAATGTATACATTTAAGGTCAAGCCTTGCTCAAGGGCTTACTCTCATGACTGGACAGAGTGTCCCTTCGTCCACCCTGGTGAAAATGCCAGGCGGCGTGATCCAAGAAAGTACCACTACAGTTGCGTTCCATGCCCTGATTTTCGGAGGAATACTTGCCAGCGGGGTGATGCTTGTGAATATGCACATGGGATTTTTGAGTGTTGGCTTCACCCTGCACAATATCGAACACGGCTGTGCAAGGATGAGACCAACTGTACACGAAGGGTGTGTTTCTTTGCACACAAAGTAGAAGAACTTCGGCCGTTGTATGCTTCCACTGGTTCAGCAGTACCTTCCCCTAGATCATTCTCTTCTGGACTGTCTTCATTGGACATGGCATCAATGAGTCCCCTAGCACTTGGTTCCCCTTCTATCATGATGCCTCCGTCCTCAACACCCCCTATGAGTCCTAGAGGATCTTCCTCTCCTAATGGTGGATCCATGTGGCCGAATCAGTCCACTTTTGCTCCTCCAACCTTGCAGTTACCTGGAAGCCGACTGAAAAGTGCATTGAATGCTAGAGATGTTGATCTGGATACTGAATTTGTTGGACGCGATGCTCGAAATCAGTGGCGCCAACAGTTTGTGGATGACATATCTTGGCTTCCTTCACCATTGAGCTGGAATACTGGATCAGGCTCTGGTGCAGCTTTTGCTGCTTCATCTGTTGATCGAAGTGGAGATGGAGCTAGGCATCCTAACTTGAAACCAACTAACCTTGATGATATTTTTGTTGGTCTTGATTCTTCAGTTTTGACTCATCAGCTTCAAGGGCTGTCTCTGGATGCTGCATCAAGCCAGCTGCTTTCTCCAACCGGCTCCCAGATGCGGCAAAATATGAATCAGCAGCTGCTCTCGGCATACACTTCTGGTCTGTCTTCATCCCCAGTTAGGACATCATCGCCTTCATTTGGTAATGATCCATCAGGGTCTGCATCTGCCTTTTCAAATTCAAGGGCTGCTGCTTTTGCGAAACGGAGCCAGAGTTTCATTGACAGAACTCCAGTAAGCCGTCACTCTGGGATGTCGTCGCCACGTGCTTCTGCAGCTGTTATGCCAGCACCTTTTTCAGACTGGAGCTCACCTGATGGAAAGTTGGATTGGGGCATCCAGAAAGAAGAAATTAGCAAGATGAGGAAATCTGCTTCATTCGGGTTCAGGAGTAATGGCAGCAGTTTTGCATCATCCTCAGTTTCAAATTCGGCAGATTTGCCTTGGGTTCATTCTTTGGGGAAGGAAGTCCCTCCTGAAAATCTTGGTCCAGTTGATTTTGACAATGAAGATCACAGGCAATACCTTCGAAACAGTGGAGGATCAGAGACACTTCCTTCATGGATAGATCAGTTATACATGGAGCAGGAGCAGATTTTGGCTTAAAATCAAATATTGACTGCATTCATTATTTGCTAATTTTACATAAGCTAAAGTTAATTCCAATTTTTTCATTTATATTGATGTTCACCATGTTTAGGTGAATATATTTAGAGAGAAAATGAGGAACACTGAAATAATGGCAGAGAAAGTTTTGCCCTTTCCGCAGATTTTGATAGATTCAGATATAGATATTTTTATTCGAGGTTGTTCTTCCATTAATACCAAAATGATTGTTCATCTACATTACAAGACTTCAGAAAGTGTTAGTCTTGGGGTCATTCTGGGATTTCTTTGTTGATCTCAGAAAGATAATGTATTGCATCACATATATACGTAATAATGCATCATGTGACAAAGAAGTTGCATCATTTTGGCCATCCAATGTTTCAAAACTTTGGTTCTTTCATGTCCATTTCCTTTTCTCTTTTCACCTTTTAGAGAAAATGGTGGAAAATTGTTCGCCATTTCCATTAGATGAAATTTCCTTGTCCTTTCTCGTGGAAATGAGGAAGGCACAGAAGCACTAAACAGGGTCCTTTTCGTTACCCTTTGCTGAAGCACTAATGATATAGTACTAGAAAAAAAAAAGAAGGCAATATGTTAGAACGAAGGCACGAGGCAGTTGATAGTTATCTAGAACTAAAGAAAGAATGATGCTAATGGATGATCTCATGATCTGTCCTCAAAAGCCTTAATGGATTTGGGAGGCGGCTTTCAGTTTGATTGGGTCACTTAGATAAATTAATAAAGAAAGACCCAATTGTTTTAAAATAATCTTGTTGGTGTCACAAAATTTGTCTGTAATTGGTCTATTTAGTCACTTAAACCAAGAAAATTTGTTTGCTCTTTATACTTTATGGTAATGGTAATGCCATGGAGTATCCAAATGAATTTTGTTTGCCCGCCGAAATGTAAATGTTACAGAAAATCATACAACAGCGACGGCTAGCTGCTGAACTTTTGATATCGCCGGCTCTGGTTATAAAAATCTTCGATAAAGACTTGGTCACATTGGATTTAAATATAGCAAATTTTATGCAGATAATACTCCCTACGTTTTAAAATAATTATTACATCTAACGTTTGCTTCGAATTTTCGTCTTGATGTGATATTTTTACGTTTTGATTTTGGATTGATATTTTTCCTTTGACAATATAGAATAGAAACTTGGATAATTAAGTTGGGAAAACATCAATGAGGACGACAGCAACATGAAAAGAAGACTAATTAAAAGGAGAACTTTTCTGCTTTTATTAATTTTAAGCAAATCATGTGAATATGTTGTGATTAAGTCAAATTGGACGGCTGATCCCAAGGGGATGTTTTTCTTCAGTTCTCATCACAGCAGTGGCATGGCTGCTGCTGCTATTCTTAATGCATTTCTTTATCAGTTTTTAGACTTTGGAATGTGGGACTCTATCTCCTTTATTCATAATTCCACACTTTCACAGTTTGATGGACCTCGTAGGCTCATACCAGCTGCAAAAGGGAGTCAATTTGGAGTATATTCTATCCCAGAAATTTGATATATTCAGTGTAAATAGATCATTGAATATGGATCGGATCCGACCCATTTGTTCAATACGGTTTAATCGACTTACAGAGTTGATCAAAAGGGTAAATATCTAATACAATTCGGACAAAAAAATATGTAATTCATAGCTTATAAATAGAGTTCATCACATTCTCTAAAATCTTTTTTTTCCTTGATTTAAGTATCAGAGTGTCTATCTTTGGGAGATCTTGAGTTTTTCTCTTACATATCACACATAAATTATTGAGTGCAGCAACTTTATCACGTAGGATTGTGCAGCCAGACGAAATAATAGGGGTAAAGTAGTAATTTTGGGGGGAGAGATAATTTGTACGAGAGTTATATCACCAAAATAGAGGAGTGCTAGTACTTGCTGCACTAAAAATCAGAATATAGCAGCAGTTGTACCCAATAATTTTTCCATAACACAAACCTTGTCAGAGAAACACAATTTTGCCGGAGGACAAATTTCGTCTTCGTCAATCACAAATATTACATTGTAACTTATACTCCTTCCGTCCCATAATTATTGTCCAGTTTGGATTTTCATTTCTAGTTCAAATTGCACTAAAGGTGAAATCTCAAACTTGACAATAATTTTGGGACAGAGGGAGTATATATTAGTACTTATTATAGAATTATAAAAATTGTTTCTTATAAAGTTGCGCTTTACTGAAATGACATTTTTAGTGTTTTTGTTTAGTCGTATCGACACAATGGTAACGTATTCATACCGTTCCAAATAGTTTGTTGTGCTCTCATTGATAAAAAGTTGTTAGAAGTTATAGTTTGAGATGATACTCATTCTTCTCTGACCTAAGAAAAAGATTCAATCCTGAACAGATATAACTTCATGAAAATTTCAATCTATCACACATCAGCTGTGTATTATTTATACTCTTTTCTTTTTCTTTTTAAGTAAGTAGTGTTAAAAAAGGCCGTTCCTTTCATTTATTTAAGCATCACTGTATGAAAATTGATAAAAATGGACTGTCCTCTTTAAGAAAGCTGAAAAGTTCAAGAACATGAAAGCGATTTCGCGTTTTTGGTCTCTTGGTTTGAATTTTGGATATGTTACAAAGGATTGAATAAGAAGGTTTGACTTTGTTTACAGATTCGGAAAAATGGAAGCAAAAAGAAAATATAAGGACAGCTATGAACATTTCTCTAATAATTTTATATTTTATCTGATTCGAAATGATTATGAACTACGTACCAAATTCACCTCAAGTAACGAATTCTGTAATAATATTTACATGTTACAGATATGTAAAAAGGAAAACAAAGTAAACTGGGCAGATCTAAATGTGAAGTTTGAATCAGTTGATGTTAACACAAATTAACAAGCTGATCAACCATCTCTCCAATCAATTCATCTAGAATTTGCATTTGGATTTCTCCGCCGATTTCTTTGTACTCTTCAAACTTGTGCATCTCCCTCCTGTTGTTCAGTAACCAATCTGCTTGAACTGTATTTCTTCCTGCCACATTGTAAATTTCCCCCCACATCTGCATGAATCTGCTACTACTTCCATGGCCATCCTTTCTCAATTGATCAATTCTTTTTCGTTCACAAGATGAACTATTATTATTTGATCTGAAAGACGTACTATTGGATTGATAATTTAGCTTCCTGTAATTTTCCAGGTCTTCTGCTAAAGTCCTCCTTGATCTGGAATTTGTTAACCTTGAAGGCTCCCCTGTTGTCATAAAAAATTCAGGAACAGGTTAACAAGATTGAAGTGAACAAAAAGTTATGTAGTATGAATAAACTAAACAAAATGTAGATGGCAAACCTGGACAACTTGTAACTTCTGGATCACCTGGGAATTTGGTAACATCCAAAACAGAACTTGGACTTGAATTTTCAGAATCTGGCTCTGTTTCAATCCTCTTCACTAGCAAGCAATCATCTTTTCTCTTCTTCATCCTCCTCCTTCCTAATTGTAAATCATTCTCGGATTTCTGGATGATGGGTTTTGCTAATTTCTCTACTTCTTTGTCAGCAGCAGCAGAATTTCTGCAAGAACTGTTTGTTGGACGAAGAATGTTGATCGAATCTTTAAGCTTCGAATTATCACCGCCTCTGAATACCACCCTTTTAGAAACTTGTTTAGAGTTGATTGCTTCTGGATTCTCAATGAAAATAGTCCGAGTGTCGAGAAGATTTTCTTTGTTCTTTTCATAAACACTCTCCCTTTTCTTGTTGCTTTTTGCTTTAGAATTCGAATTTTCTCCTTTGATTCCTTGCTTTGTTTGCTTTTGCCCCGAACCCATCTCGGATTTCCTCGATCTTGCTCCCAATTTCCCAAATTCATCTTCATCCTCAAAGCTAAGAATGTAAAAATCCTCATCTTGTAACTCGACGAATTTCGACCGAGTTTCCCGAAAGCTCTTGGCACGACGATGCCTCCCCTGCATCGATGCCAGCTCCTTCATTAAATCCACAGAATTCATCGAACGGCTTCGAGAAATAGAATTAGGACTTCTTTCAGTCACAGGGAAATCGATTTGCGGGAAGGATTCTAAACCCATTAATCTAGCCACAAGGTTAGGAGTTGAACCAGAAGCAGAGCTCTCCTCTGCTTTAGAACATTGAAACCTATCCAACTCCAGAGAAACAGAGTCATGGTTTTCAGTGTATTTGAAATGGTGAGAAGGATGATGAGTTGGAGGATCATTCAGGCATAAAAGTCGACGAAACACACCGGCAATGCAGCTAGCCGGACTAGACCTCGAATCACGAACACAACCAGCATCGAAAGATGTGCTTGTAGTTGTGGTAGTGATAGTAGAGGAAGCTGAAGAAGATGATGAAGTCAAGAACTTCATCTTCTTGATAAATGAAACAACGCTTCGGTATGCAAAAGAAAAAGGAAGTCAGTGAAGGGTTGAATTAATTGGGACTCAAAAGTCTTTAAACTGGCAAAGAAATGAAAAAAGAACAGTTGAAAAAAGCAAAAGGGAAGGTGAAAAAAAACTCTCTCAAACTCAAAAACAAAAAAAGCAAACTGAGATTTGAACTGTAAGAAGAACTGGCGGGCTTTACATTTGAATATGGTTTTTTAAAAGTCTTTTTTTGATGGAGAAAGGATAGGATGTAAGGTCGACACGCGCTACGAGCAGTCAATTTTGATGCAATTTTTCTGTACTTATGAATCGGACAGATTTTTCAGATTGGCTGAAAATGGTTTGCTGATGAATAGGCACGCCTTCTGAGCGCGTAAGAGTGGATGTGTAATTATGGTGTTTGTTGAAACTGAGTAGTCTCTCTCTATACTATAAAGTGAAAGGGTTTGGTATGAATGGGTTTACGAACTCTTTTTTTTGACTTCTGAAGACTCTGAGATGTCTGTCGTTGCTAATACTAGAAAGCTTTAGATTAGGTTTTTGCAGAAATGAATACAGTCAGATCAGACGGGAATTAAATGATGGACAGATACGGTTGCTATTATGAGATGTTTTTTTTTGGTCATTCGAAACCATTATGTTGCAATTATTGTGGCAAATCTAAGTTCAGAAATCATGTGGCCTAGTTCATTACCACTTCATTTCTTTGCCAAAGTATAGTTGCATGATTGAAAACTTTGGGTAGATCTCACTCGTACTTCAATCTGCTTTGATTATGTACCATCTTGGAAAGTTTTCCAAGTTTCAAATTTTATTCGGAACAATCAAGGTCGTCCAAGTCAGAAGTCATAGTATTCGAATGTTTCGATACAGTCTGTTGACATCCGTACAAGTATATGAATACAAATAAGGAACGTAAGATAAGCGCACTCAGCTTGTATCTACACGAATCTTATTCTAGAGCGTTGATGCCTTTGACAATCAAGAGCGCAACGGATGTGAACTTCTTTAAACGCTAAAGTCTTCAGCGGCCTCGAGTGCAAGGTGCATCACTCGATTATTAAGGAAATAACGTTCTAACTTTAACCATTCGATTTGCTTTTGATTTTGTGCAAGTACATTGAAAAGTTTCCAAGTTTCAAAATTTTGATATGAATCAATAAAGTTGTCACAGTCAGAAATCATGATTTCGAGTATTTCGATACGATTCTCTGAACGTCTAGACAAGTATATCAGAACAAATAAGGGACACGGGATAAATGCATTCACCATTTCAACTTGTATAAACTAATGCCTTTAAAGATCAAGAGCGCAACGGACATAAAACTTTTTACCTCTTTACTAATTCCTTTAACGATCACGAGGGCAAAGTGTATTACTCGATTAAGAAAATATAAGTCGTACTGACTTTGACCATTTGACGTTTAAGATTTGACTACTTCAAAAGCTTGATGTCACATAATTTACTCCACAGATTGTCGATTTAGGATTGCACATCACTTTTGTACATGAAAATCCTAATAATTTACTCTTTGTTTTAATAAATCACAAAACAGGTCATTGAACTATTCGGTAATACTTATATAGGTCATCAATCAAATTTATTTGTAAATCAGGTCATCATGTTAAGCAAAAAATTTATCCGAGATCATTCTGTTAATTTTGATCGTTAAATACTGATGGAAATTCATTTTTCGCATACTTTTGGGTTTATGGGTATTTTTGTCATTTAATTACTTTTAATTTTAAAATATTTTAAAAAATTTATTTATTTATTTATTTTTACAATTTTTCTTCTTGTATTTCCTAACTTGTACATGATGCTAGTATAATTTCAAAATTTCAAAAATTAATTTAAATTTTGTATTTTAACTTCTAGATTGTAAATTTTTTTAAAAAAATTTAAGAAATGAAGAAGAAAAATTCGAGTTGAAATAAACATGAAATTTAATAGTTTACCATTTTAAACCAAAAGAAAAAATAAAATAATTAGTTAAGACAAGTTGTTTCTTCTAGTCATTTAATGATTTTCAACTTAATTAAATTATTTAATTATTAATTTTCACATTAACTTCAATTTACATTTTTCTTCTTTTATATTATTCTTATTCCTATTTTTAAATCTAAAAGTTAAGATACAAATGACAAATTAATATTTGAAATTTAATAATGATACTAGTACTAACATATACAACTTAGGAAGTAAAAGAAGAAGAATTGTAAAAAAAAAAAATTAATTAAAATTTTGATTTTTTTTTAAAAAAATATAAAATGATGAAACTGCCACTGGACCCAAAAGCATGTGAAAAATAACTTTCTGTTAGGCGAAACAATTTCTCTTAGCTGAAAGATCTTTTGAACGTTATATCGTGACAGAAAACTGTTTTTCACATCCTTTTGCTTTCAGGGGTAGTTTCATAATTCTGTATTTTTCTTTAAATATATTAATTTTTTTATAACAATTTTTCTTGTTTTGTTTTTTACTTCCTAACTTATATATGTTGGTACTATAATAATTATTAAATTTCAAAAATAATTTGTCATTTGTATTTTAACTTCTAGATTATAAAAAATATAAATAAAGAAGAGAAATTCAAATTGAAGAAAACGTGAAAATTAATAATTAAATGATTAAATCGAGTTGAAAATAATTAAATAACCTAGAAAAAATAAATTGTCTTAGCTAGTTTTTTAGTTTTTTTTTTTTGTTTAGAAAGATAAAATATTAATTTTCATGTTTGCTTCAATTCTAATTTTTCTTCTTCTCTTTTCTAATTTTTTTTTAAATTTTTTTTATAATCTATAAGTTAAATACAAAAGTTAAATTAATTTTTGAAATTTAGAAATTATACTATTGGCATATATAAGTTAGAAAGTATAAGAAGAAGAATCGTAGAAAAAATAAAAAAAAATTAATTTTTTTTAAAAAAATAACAAAATGATAAAAATACCCATGAACTCAAAAATATGTGAAAAATAGTTTTTCCGTCATTATTTAACGATCAAAATTAACATAATGATCTCCGATATATTTTTTGCTTAGTATGATAACCTATTTTACAAATATATTTGATTGATGACCTACATATTGATATTACCGAATAATTCAATGACTTGTTTTGTGGTTTATTTTTTTTGGATGTTAAAACTATAAGCTAATACGAAATGCGAATCATTCAACACTCGTTTTAACTCAATGTGGTTTTACGATGATATAGTAGCCGGTGGTAAAAGAGGGATGCTGGTGAAATTGTCATCGAAGCCTGAAGGGGTGATCAAAATATCATAAAACAAAGTTCGTCGTTTTTGTGGACAACGGATACGACTGCAGATAGTGATATGGTCCCTTCACCCTTGGTCGTGGTACAATGGTCCACCTATATATATGTATATTTGAGACACAAATCTGACTAGAATTTGGATACTGCTAGGAAATGTATCACACTTCCTTCAGATTCGTGATTCCAACACTGGATGTAAGAGTCTAGAAAACAAAGTCGAATTGTCAAGTGCCAAAAGAGATTCCTTCATTGAAATCAGGCTTGTGAGAATCTTTTCGCATTCATACGTTTGAACTTTGTCACAACCCTATCCATGAAATGGAACTCCACTTTATGCTTATGTTGTTTAACAACGTTTATTTTAGGTGGGAAAGGCCACAGTTTTCGAGGTTCTTTGGTGAGGGTGTGGGGGGAAATTGTGGAATTTTTCAAATTCTTCTTGGGATTCATGCTGAGAAGATTGAATTCTCTTGGTACTTGTTTGAAAATGGCAAAGTGAGTGTACGTATTATTGTAGTACTGTCAAAAGTGAAATCTGTTCCTTACTCCATTATACTATCATTTGTGACATACTTGGATTTTAATAAGGGGATCAAATCTCAATTCTGTTGAGAACAATCTTATAAAATGTATGATAGTCTTGGTTGAACAATCTCTTTTCATATATGGTAAATATTTACAAAGACTAAACTGTATAAATGGTTTCCTACATTTGTCCGAATTTAAATTTTGGTCCCTACATTAACATGTATATGGATTGAGTCTTTACATTTTATTTTGAAACTTTTTTGGTCTCTTTTCACAGTTCCGTCACCATTTCCGTCTTGATGACCGTTGAGCCTACCAAGTCAGGGGTATTTTCGAAGTGACACATATAAGATCAAAATAACAAATGTTTTTATAATAAAATAGAATAAAATATTAAAAATTATTATTTTATAATAAAAATTAAATAATTTAAAATAAAAAATAAAAAATTAAAATGATTTCAAATTTCAAATTTCAAAAAAAATTTTCACTTCCCACCTTTGTGGGTCCCACATGCCAGTCAATTTCCCTCCCTTTTTTTGCTACGTTAAAAAAAATCAAAATTAAAAAGCAAACTTATCTTCACCCGTCTTTTACCTTTACCCTTAAAAATTTTATTCTTACCAAGTCACTGCTACAGTAAACCCTACTGATATAAAACCTTATTTCCTGGCATTATTGACCCAAATCCGGCGACATCAAACTAGAATTCCGATCTAATTCCTACTCTATTTATCATCTCTAATCTTATCCGCCAACGTCTTTGTTCATTATCTTCATTGTATTCCTAAATCTTCCTTCTACTTCAAATAAATTTGCAGATTTTTATGTCGGCCTCCGGTGGTAGCAGCAACAACGGCAGCAACAGCAGTAACGGAAACAGGAGCTACCTTCAGTACGAGAGATTCATTTGCAACAAATGTGGGATGTATTGCAATTTTGGGCTCTCTGCAACCTATAAAAATCCTGGTCGACTATATAATAATTGCTAACCATGGGTTTGTTGGGTGGGCTATACCTGTAGCAGTGACTTGGTAAGAATAAAATTTTTAAGGGTAAAGGTAAAAGACGGGTGAAGGTAAGTTTACTTTTTAATTTTGATTTTATTTACTGTAACAAAAAAAGGAGGAAAATTGACTGGTATGTGGGACCCACAAAGGTGGGAAGTGAAAAAAAAATTGAAATTTGAAATCATTTTAATTTTTTATTTTAATTTTTAAATTATTTAATTATTTATTATAAAATAATAATTTTTAATATTTTATTCTATTTTATTATAAAAACATTTGTTATTTTGATCTTATATGTGTCATTCCGAAAATACCCTTGACTTGGTAGGGTCAACGGTCATCAAGACGAAAATGGTGACAGAACAATGAAAAGAGACCAAAAAAGTTTCAAAATGAAATGTAAAGGCTCAATCCATATACATGTTGATGTAGAGGATCAAAATTTAAATTCGGACAAATATAGAGGACCATTTATACATTTTAGTCTATTTACAAAAGGGATTTTGCTTTAAAATTGAT